TTCCCACGTCTCTTGGATCCCCACTTCATCTAGATCGCTTTGTTCTACTTGAACCACTATTTCCAACCGCTTGCGCTCACTCCTTGCGAACCCGCACACGTTCCACGACCCGACTCTCAGCTTGCGCTTTTCCCTATTGGAGATTTTGCGCACACCATCGTTCGCCTTCCGCTTCTTCTCGGACTTCTTCTGACTTGCTTGCTCGCCTCCCCCGCTCGGTCCTTGACAGAGGTGGGGTGGCGTGATTTGGCTTTCGGCGTGTCATGCCTGTCGGGGTCGTCGCTATACCTGAAGATTCGGTTAGGGTGAACGCGTGACTCATACCTAGGGAAGTAGAAGGGGTTGAGCAGCGGGGCTGACGACGAACAGGATGGCTCCGTTGTAGTTTGGAACATAAGATGGCTGGAAGTCAACCGTCAACTCCGTGCTTCTAAATACATGCGACTGCAATGAACTTGGATTCGGTGGCGCGTCTTTCGTCCCAAGGTCATTGCTTCCTGGCCGAAGGCTCAACGGTGAGGTGGTGGTTTACTCCATGGCATTGGATTTACCGCGTAGCACACCGTTGTTCAACAGAACCGCCTCCCCCCTTTCCCCTACCCCGAAAGGTTCTCCAATCACTTTATGTCGAGAAGGAGGACGCTGGGTCGTCGGAACCTTCCCCGCCGAGAGACATCGTCATCTCCGGGTTACTCTTCAACCTGGGATTCCTCCGCCTGGCGGTCCTCGGGGAGTTCAGTTCCGCCGCAAGCGTGCTGCAGCAGGCGATCGAGCTCAGAAAGGCCGTGCTCGGAGAGGCGCACAGCCTCACGGTGCAGGCGGTGGTGAGCCGGGGCTGGGCCCTGACGCTCACAGGGGACACGCTGCTTGCCGTCGAGGAGCTCACCAGGTGTGACGGTCGGAGCGGGGGAACACGCCGGGGATTCCGAAGGGTGCTTCGTTGAAGGGTCTGATGTGCGTGGGTTCCCTTTCTTGGTCGCCTATGTACTCAGCGGGAGGGTCCGTGGCATGAGCGCGAGGATAGGAGTGAGGGTGGGGGGAGTGGCGATAGAGGACGGTTCGAAAGAATTGCGTTCTTTCACGGGGCCAGAAAACACCGACAAGTCCACCAGGACGCCACAACACACGCGCCACTGCCCTTTCCCCTTTTCCGTTGTGATGCAGAGCATGACGCTTGTGTTTGCGCTCATGTCGTTTTGTGTGTCTTTCTGCCCCCGTTTTCTCCAAGCGCGGCAGACGCGCTGCTCTCGGCCGGGCAGCCACATGCGGCCGACAGACTCCTCCGCCAGGGGTTGCAGCAAGGCTACGACCCCCTTGGGGGCGCCACCTACGCGCACGCCTGCTACACGCAGCATTCCACCATGCTCAGGGCTTGGGGTAGTGAGGTAAGTGGGGTCCTCTCTGTTGCTGTAGCAAGCTATGCTGCCTGGAGTCTTGGCGATGCAAGCCAGTGAGTGTGTGCTGTTGTTGTACCCCAAATAAATAAACGATCACGGCATGCTGTTCACCCTGAATTTGCCGCACCGGGCCTCTGAATCCACAGGGACGTTGTGGGTACACCGCTTGTTCGCCCGGTTCTACGCCGACAGTTTCGTTCGATGGTTTTCACTTTCGTGGACGCGAAAAACAAAAATCGCTCCTCGGCGTAGTAGTCCCTCTCAAGTCCCCCCCCCCTCCATGAACCCATGTGCCCCTTCCGATACCCGCCCACCCTGCGCCCCCGTTTGAAACTGTGTTCCGCTTCCCCCTGTACTGCTGTAGGGTATCGCCAAGGCGGACGCCTTCTGTTTGAATCAATTGGATATCGCGAAAAAGGCCAGGCTTACTGGAAAGGAACGTCCGATGAAGCGTGCAACGAGAACTCTGGCCGTAGCGGTACGGGCGCAGATTGAGGTAAGGCTAAGACCAAGGGTGGCCTTGTCCAATCAAGGGGTGCTGCCGCTGAGCTTTCGCACACCACACTTTCGAAAGATAAACTGTCTGATGTTAGGAATACATTTTTGAGCAGTATCGTAAGTTTTGGAAAATGTTGCCACTCTTCTTCCGCCTGTGCTCGATTTAGTCAAGGGGCGAGGGTACGGACTGAATGTGGTACTTCTCAGTTGCCGTGATGTGCGCTACTTGTATGTTCGGCGGCGGGTCCGGTGTCTCTTGGCTTCCAGCCCGCGTGGACAGAGGTGGCAATGCTACTACACGTGCGATGTTGGGGGACAATACCACATGCGACTTCTCCACCGGAATCGTAGATACGTTGCTCGCGGTTTGGCTTTTTCGAAGGGCTGCGGAGACAAGTTGTGACCTGCCTGCGGCCCCGTCTTTCAATGGTCTTACATAGCGTTGTCGTTACGTCAGTGGTGAGCTCCGAACACGAAGCAACACCCCCCACGCCTGGCCTCATCACCCGCGCGGCCGCAACTGTCCAGGATGAGACGGAGGGAAGGGAGCTTCTGGAGCTCAACCCAGGCGACAAGGAACGATTGTGGGAGGAAATAGGGCTCCTTCTAAAGTGATATATAGCTCCTCGCTGCTTGTTGGCAACTACGTCGACACTCAGCTCGGCTTCGAGTTCGTCCGCGCTTTTGGTGGTGAACCGCAGGAGGGGGTCCAGCCCCCCCTCCCTTTGTGACCCCGGTTGGGTCGTCTAGCTAGTACAAGTGGAGGATAGGGGCCAGAGGGGCAGACGATAGAGTCCGATGGGAGAAACAAAAAAAAAAACATGATAGGGTCGAGGATCGTCGCAAGGGGCACGAGAGGAACTTGTCGAGATTGTAGAGAATAGCTATATTTCTGCTGGGGCTGCTAATACGCACACTAACGCGGGAATATCCTGTGCATCCTTGTACCTAAAAAAACACCGTCTGAAGCGCCAAATAATCGTGAAGCCTACTGACTAGCTGGCGCTCGCTCTCCTTCCCACGTGGGTCCACATAATCTCTGCCAATCTGACAGACCTCGTGGTTGCCTTGAAGAAGGGTCACAAGCGTAATTTTCCGGGAATGGCATCTATCGCTTGTCGTGCTTGCCGAAGCCGCCGTTGCGTGGGTCATCAACCCCAAAATCTAAAGTAGAGATAGCACCAGAACGCTAGAAAAACATTTTCCCTCGAAAGGAAACCCGTCCGTCCTCCACAGCGGTAGCTATAGCTCACGACGCAAGATATGTTGTGCGTTTTTTTGTTTTGCTTTTCCCGTGTAGTACCGCAAACGTAAGAGTAACGTTGGCGGCAGAGTGAACCACACATGACCAACGTTGGAAGTACATAGGGTCAAGCGCTGCCTCGAGACAGACCCGAAACTAGCTCAAATGAACCCCCCCTCCAGCGCCTTTACCCGCAGGTTAGTTAGGCCCAACCTCCACACGGTCTTTTACGATCGTCAAGAGAGCGGTGCTTGGTACACAAAGGAAACTCTCAACAGCGGGTAATGCGGTAAGTACCCGCAAGCGGCAGCACCGAGCGCCTACTTCGCCAAGAACATGCCCCACGTGCGTGTGTGTGTCGAACTTTATCGAGATGCCACGGTTCGACGTGGGGCCGAAACGGTCCACAAAGGTGTGTTTGTGTCGGCGTTGTACCGCCCCCGGCTCGGAGCGAGCACCAAATCACGCGCTCGAAATGCCAAAAAATGGCACTTTGGTACAAGCACACGGTTACGTCGGCTTTTACTTATCCTGAAGCCCATCGATCACGGCTAACGAAAGGCTCTTTCCCGGCACACACATCTCTGCTGTGCGGCACCTCTCCACACACGTGTGTGCCCGTCAACAATATCTGTACCGTTACGCGCAGCTCTGACCAACAAGTACCATGACACAAAACAAACACACAAGAGCGCCGCTACCGTACACGAGAGGCGCTCTCACCTACATGCGAGGGGTGGGAAAACATACCGGCACCGACGCCGCCACAACGCCCAGCGCTGCGTCCTCTACAGTGATTTCCTCCTGCTGCCACCGACACAAGGAGCTGGCAAGCACTCGTCTCCATGCCTGCGTCTCGCCTTCGGGCGACGCCGCCGAGCAGACGGTGTTATTTAGTATCACCCGAACATGGTGAGAAACTTGCCTCCGACAGCACCGCCGACTATCAAGTTCAATGTCCCCATGACGATCATGGCCGGTCGGTAGAATCGTCGTGGGAGCGGCGACGTGTCCGCGTTGACGGCGGCCAACAACGTCTTCCAGCTTCTTGGACTGACCCGCCGCAACAAAAACAAAACGCACACACACACAACAGCAAGGAAACACGCGCATGTGATGGATGAAAAGACAGAAACAGAGACAGACATCATAGCGCCAACCCTGCGTGGGGTATTTCTAGTGAGGGGAGGTTGCGTCGGGTAGCCGGGCAGCCTCACGATCGCGGGCCATCTCCTCTTTCGCAGAACGGCCACACGGAGCGACGCCTGATAAGACTGTTCTGCAACCAGACACAAATACAAACCATCTTCGTCCAGCGCTCTACCGAGCGATAGACCCAAGTGACGCGACGAGAATAGAATATCCATCGGGGGAGACAGTCACCCTTCGTGATACATCTCCCGGCCGGACATTGCCCAAAGCTGAAGCGGCCGAAAGGCGGAAAACGCCCACCCAAGAAAGGAGTACAGCAGCGCATGGAGTGAACATAAAGACGAGAGCCCCGAGGGCTACCATAGGCTACAGTCCAAAGCAAAAATGAGCAAGACTACCTCAAGATCTCCTCCCACAAAGTGAACGACAACTCAGCACCGTGGGAGTGCGTGCCTTCAAACATCACGCCTTATCCCTCCAGCGGAGGGTGGCGCAGCTACCCGCTAGCCCCCCAAGGGTACCACTGAGAGAGTCCCCTTTCTTTCATCTCACCCTTCCCTTTTCTTGTCCTTCCCCCAGGAGCAGGAAAGCGTAGATTTGGCCCCTCTCTTGTGTGCCATAGCCGCCACCAGGAGGTTGGCCACGTCTTGCCGACCAATCTTGTACATCGGCTGAGATTTCCACATGCTCGTAGGCTTTCCGTCGCACTCGAGCATCTGGGCAACGGAAAACCAGGGCGACCGTCGTCGTCGGTGCCAAGAATGCGAAGACAAGCGTGGTGTGGCCGTGCCACGTTCGCCCATGACGGGGCACGGGGGGGCTCCATTGACAAAAAAAAGGCGATTCCTGCATCAGACATTGACCACTATGGGGTGCTCGGAGAGCGGCGGCAAAGGGCGACTGCCTTATGAGTATCGCACAACCAACGTTCAGCAAATTTCGTGGGTATTTGAACCATCAACACAGTTTGCTTCGGGAGGGGACGGGGCGGCGGAGTGGGGAAATACCTTAAGACAATTCGACAAGGTCGCAAGGTTCCACTCGCAACGGTTATGAGCTTGGTGGATCCATCGATGCGCAATATTTCTGGCACTCTCCAGATTCAGGCGGCACGCCGCAGGATGATGATGTAAACAGATGGATGGAGGCTTGGCCGCCGGTCCAGGCCGAGGATACCTGTTTGACCCAGCCTCGCTGCATCCGCCCAACAAAGAAACACCCCCGTCGCACACATCAAAAACCTACTCTCCGGGTCGTCGGCTTTTCTCCTCGACCCAAGCTGCTGGCACAGCGAACCTACTCACCAGGCACGCGTCCTTCGGTCGCTTCTCGTGGGTAAGAGCCCCGGGCCGTACCACGGTGTAGTCTAGCCCCGATCTCTCTGCAGCCTCACGGATGGCCCGCTCGCCCATGTACTGCCACCTGCACCCCGTCGGGGTGTTCGGGTGCGTAAACGGTCGGCCGCGAAGGGAGCATGTGAATGTGAAAAACGCCAGAGGTGGCCGAGAGAGCGATCAAGAACACAGAAAGCGGAGCATTGGCGCTACCACGTCAGCGTGCTCTGGTGGCCCCAAATATGTGGGCCCGCTGACCCGCCAGTCTATTCTCCAATTGAAGCAACGGGAGAGCACGGTACAGTCGGGGTGAATTATCGAATTTTCATTTGCTGCAACCACGAGACTCCGCGCTCTGGACCGGGGAAAGAGGCAGCGCAATGGGCCTTCTCGAAAGGAGACCACCATCAACATCATCGACCGCATCTCACACACAAAATAATCGCTTTACGGGGGCGAACCCTTCACAATCGCGTCCTCCCACGAAGAAAACAAACGCTACAGCAAGTAGTAACGAATACAATATCGGCAAGGCTCGCGGTGCTTGCCTCCCCCCGGGGGAAAGAAAGCTTTCTCACTTGATGGACATGGAGATAATCAAGTTGAGGAGGTAGGTGAACGGGTTGAAGGCCGAGAGGCCGACGGAGAGGCCCGTGAGGCGCACGAATCTCTTCACCCCCGCCTTTTGCGCCGCGTCTAGCATGTTCATCGTTCCGATGTAGTTCACGTTGTACGGGTGTCCCTTCTCGGCGTTTTTCAGTCTTGTCCACCAGTCCGACAGCGCAGAGGCGCGCGAAGCTCCACTGCTCGACGGCAGGGACCAAGAAAAGGAAGGACGAAATACTGGGTACGTGTCGCGGGAGAGTTGCGCCAGGGGGGGGGCAGGCTTGCCTACGCTTTGCACTCCGCGTTGATTGAACTGCGAGAGGTCAATGTTGTTGCGCGCCTGGGTGGAGTCGACCCTCAATTCAACGTGTGTCGTCAAGGTTCGGGGGATATCGATGGGTCTAACAAGGATGAGACTAGCCCAAATATGAAACTATGTAACTGTGTATGCTGACGGCGCAACCCCACCAACCCGGACGAAGTTTGACACAGGGTGGCAACGACGTTCGGCCCAGAACAGAGCGGCGACGGCTGCATAGGAAGCAGGGCGTATCGAGACGCGAAACGAGCCTTGGTACATTCGTCAACTCACTGGCAAGCAATGCATGACGAGCAGCCCGCCATGTGAGCCTCCAAGCTCGCCTGTGCCCGAACCAGAGACGAAAAGCAGTGCACGGAATGGCAAAAAAGGGTCTCGAGATCGAACAACATCGATTCAAGGCAAATATGGGCCCCGTTCCGGGAACTACAGGCTGCAATATGAATTGTCGGTCAAACGGCGCCGCTCGACAAGCAGACTCCTCCACCGCTGCTGGATGACAGACGGGGGGGGGGGGGG